TATACATATGTGAATTTGTATTTTTTTCTTTAAATGTACACCGGCTATCCAAATATAGTCCACACGTACTCTGTTTTCACGACAGTATTTATCAATTCCGATCTATATTAAATAGCCACGCGATCCACTACTTGCTTGGCATCGGATACTCGGGTAAACCGGCACTGGAATCCTTCACAGTCAGGCGCACACCCTTGTCACAGCTCGCTTGGCACAACTCCAACAGAAACAAGACCCACACCACTTGAGCCCCTTGCACATGACTTTCGCACCCACTTTCACCGTGCAAAACACCCGCAATGTTCTCAAAGTAGGCTTGGTACCTTCCGTCCAGGGTTTCCACCTCACTCTCGCCCGGAGGCGTATATAAACCACCTGATTTGGCGGCTGAGGCTACCTTACTTTCAACACCATAGTCGGCATCTGCCGGGGTTATACCTTGCTTTAGTTGATCTTCCTGTACGTCTACACCAAACTTGACATATGTTCCTTTCTCGCCACACACCGTAAATCTAGGATTACATCCAGCAAAATACGGGCCCGAATGCAGGATAACCTCTACTTTCGAGTCCTCATAGTGCAAGTGCACGTCAAAGAAATCAACCGTGCTTCCTCCGGGTCTCAGTGCTACACTTGTACCCGAGACAGATGTGGGTACGCCGAAAAGGGTCAAAGCTTGATCTAATAGATGGGAGCCTAGGTCATAGAATATGCCGCTGCCCGGTCCCGGATTCTCACGCCACCTGTCTCGAACAACGGGTCTAAATCTATCCATCCTACTTTCAAACACTCGGACATCTCCGAGCTTGTTTGCATCGATAACACTCTTTACCGTCAGGAAATCCCCATCCCAGCGTCGATTATGGAACGTGGATAGTAAAAGCCCCTGGGATGTGGAATACGTCACGAGCTCCATGGCTTCCGTCAATGTATTGCACATGGGTTTCTCTAACACCACGTGTTTCCCATTTTCTAGGGCTAGTTTGGCGAGCGAGAAGTGTACCGCGTTGGGTGCTGTGATCACAATTAACTGTACATTAGAGTCCTTGATGAGAGCCTCAGGGCTGTTGAAAACTACCAAATCAGGGTATTTGCTCTCCAGGGTCTCTTTCTGAGACGAGGAGATAGATGTGAACTTGAAATTTTCATTCGATGTTAAAAGCGGTATGTGAAATGTTTTGGCTGAGTATCCATATCCGACTATTCCCACGCGAATAGGTTCGCTTCCTGGAAGCGTTGACAATATACTGTCGCTCATGATTGAGTTAGTCAGCCCTACTTGATCTGTCATGAACGGTGGTGAAGGTGCGTTTTATTTGGATTTTTATAGCATTTTTATAGAGAAAGTGGGTTGTGGACTCGGGTGTATTTAGGGTTCAATAGCTGTCCTAATTAGGCTAAATAATATAATATGTGTAGTGTCAAACTGTCGATGTGGCATGTGACATGGTGACATGTGTCGTTTATGTCTGTCGTTGTCAGTGGATAAGAGTTGTAGTGATTGGTCCTGCAGGAAGCTGACCACTGAGAAAAGCTCATACATGTGTGTATATGAAATCATAGATATCATCATATCAATGTATCATGATATGTATTCAATACGATGTACTGTATTATTACGGGGTCACCAGTGGAGGTACAATATAAACGTAGTAAAACCAAACGGAGCTTGTATTGGACAACATAAACTACAATCCTAAATATGGTTTTTCCCCCTGTTCATGAATTAGTCATGACAGAAATAATTCTTGGTATAAATGCCTTGAGCAGGCACCACAATAAAATATTTATTCTAAGCTCTTATAATTGACAGTCTAACAACTTATCAGGTCCGGTACTCTACTTAATTTTTTTCAACATGAACACCAAGTGGAAGCCGGGAAACAAACTCAAAGGCCGTAGTAATTTCAAGATGTGGCTTATGGAACTCACTGTCATTTTACGAGCCGAAGATATATGTGATATAATACACCACGCAATGAAGCCCGCCACCAACACCAATTATGAACGAGCCTGGAACGACGAAAAAAATGGAGAGGGTCAACACTACATAATCAATTCTGCACCGCCAGACATGATGGCTACTCTGAGTGCAACTATGACTCCGAAAGAGATGTTCACAATGCTATACCAAAATTATGGTCACGTCGGGGAATGAGGCAAGATACGGATGAGACAAGAACTTGGGAAAATACGACAACAAGACAACGAGAACATGGATAAGTGTAAGATTCGGTCTAATAAAGGCGATACCAATGCCTTAGAATAAATAAACGCGTAGATAAATTCTATATCGTGTAAATATCGATATAAATAAACGGAATGAGACGTTTAATAAAGTTAGGCTTGCCTCGTGAAAACAGACTCTGAGGGATTGTGAGGCTGAGACATTGCCTATATATAATCCTCTCAGTACTGTTTCCGCCGAAGGGATTTTATTTAGTGTTTCGTTGTCGCTCTATTCTGGGGCGAATCCGAGAGACTCATAAAATCATATCTTTAGAAAAAGGAAATAAAAATAAAAATACTCTTGACGTCTTTAGTTATTGTCTTAACCAATAACTTGCCACTATCAAGAATTACCGACTTAGCCTTCATCAGACTGGCACATCTGGTTGGCTGATCGGAGGATCAACTAGGTAACGTTGATAGTCCCTAGAAACCTATATTCGGTTGAGCCATCTCGCTACCGAAGTATTCAGATTTAACTAAAATTGGAAAGTAAATAAAGCTCTATTAATAGAACTAGACCAACTCTTTTATGTTTGGTATTTTACTGAGGCCTTTTAATGGCCTCATCCAAATATCTGATATGTTAAATGGAAAAGGTTTAATTAATAAAACCATTAAAACCCATTTTAGGAAACTTAAGTTCTTCGTGCTATTAAGAGCACATTTAGGAGACTTTAAGTTCCTCGTACTATTAAGAGCAGAATTAGGACTTAAGTTCCGCGTACTATTAAGAGTACATTTAGGAAACTTAAGTTCCTCGTACTACTAGGAGTTCGTTTATAATTTGCGTACTGCTTAAGAGTACGTTTATACATAGAGTCTAATGTGGAGGCCCGGCTTAATACATAAGTTTATTCTAAGACTGAAAACGAAATTTGTTGACGCCTTCAATATGAATATCGTGCTTAACGACACCGAGAAGATCACATTCTTAACCGATACTCTACATACAAATTTCATCTCTATAGTAACTCACCTGCTTACTGACAGTGCTATGGTACTAAGCTATGGAGCTGCCTTGTAAACTTCGATGGAAATTA